TACCTCCCTCAGTGCAGGCACGCAACTTGGGTGTCCTCCTGGACTCACAGCTAAATTTGGAACAACATCTATCGGCTGTGGCCAGGGGGACCTTTGCACAGGTTCGCCTAGTGCACCAGTTGCGGCCTTATTTGGACCGGGAGGCTTTACTCACAGTCACTCATGCCCTTGTCACCTCAAGACTGGATTACTGTAACGCGCTCTACATGGGGCTACCCTTGAAGGGCGTTCGGAGGCTGCAGTTGGTTCAGAACGCAGCCGCGAGAGCGATTGTGGGCGCGCCAAGGTACGCCCACGTGTCACCTATCCTCCGCGAGCTGCACTGGCTTCCTGTGGGTCTCCAGATGCAATTCAAGGTGTTGGTTATCACCTTTAAAGCCCTTCATGGCATAGGGCCAGGTTACCTACAGGACCGCATTCTGCCGCACAGCTCCCAGAGACCGGCGAGGTCCCATAGATTGGGCCTACTTCGGGTCCCATCGGCCAGACAATGTCGGCTGGCGGGCCCCCGGGGAAGGGCCTTTTCTGTGGTGGCTCCGACCTGGTGGAATCAACTTCCCCCCGAGGTGCGAATTACTCCCACCCTGCCAGCCTTTAAGAAAGCTGTTAAAACTCTCCTGTTCTGGCAGGCCTGGGGCTGGTGTCCCCGGGGGGCCGGGATATGATCGGACTCGCGGTATGACTGGATTATTTTATTGTTTTACGACTGTTTTTAATTTTGTACGCCGCCCTGAGTCCTTTGGGATTGGGCGGCATATAAATATTTGTAAATAAATAAATAAATGTTCAGGTCCTCCTGTATCTTAAGCCTGTGTTCTGGAGTGTTGGCTATTTCTGCCAGCTTGGTGTCATCTGCGAATTTGATGAGTTCCCCATCTATCCCCTCCTCCAAATCGTTGATGAAGATGTTGAAGAGCACTGGGCCTACAACAGAGCCCTGGGGCACCCCACTACACACTTCCCTCCATGTAGATGCAGTTCCATTGAGGACCACACGCTGAGTACAGCCAGTCAGCCAGGTATGAATCCATCTGGTGGTGATGCTGTCTAACCCATTTTTTTCTATCTTTTCGAGTAGTAGGTTGTGATCTACTTTATCAAATGCCTTATTGAAGTCCAAGTAAATTATATCCACAGCATTCCTCTGATCCACTAATTTTGTCACTTGGTCAAAGAATGCAATAAGGTTTGTCTGGCATGATCTGTTTTTGACAAACCCATGTTGGCTTTTAGTAATGACCTTGTTTACCTCGAGGTGTTCGCTGATTTGTTGTTTGATTATCTTTTCCAGAATCTTCCCAGGTATTGAGGTCAGGCTGATAGGTCTGTAATTTCCTGGATCCATTTTTTTTCCTTTTTTGAAGATGGGAACTACATCAGCTCTTTTCCAGTCCTCTGGCAGTTCCCCAGTGCTCCAAGATCTTTGAAAAATATAGTTCAGTGGTTCTGAGATCACATCTGCCAGTTCTTTGAGAACCTTACGGTGTAATCCATCTGGTCCTGGTGATTTGAACTCGTCTAGGCTGGACAGGTGCTCACTTACCATTTTCTTGCCTATCTTGTGTTTCTATACTGTTTTTTATGGCACTATTTTTGATAGGTTGGTCTGTTTTTTCCCTTTGTGTAAAGACAGATGCAAAAAACGAGTTAAATAGTTCTGATTTCTCTCTATTGCTTGTCACCTTCTTGCCACTTTCGCCCACTACTGGGCCAATCATTTCCATAACTTTTTTCTTGTTTTTTACATGTTGAAAGAAGCTTTTTTTGTTATTTTTGACTTTGGTTGCAAGCCTTAGTTCATTATGAGCCTTAGCTTTCCTCACTTCATCTTTGCAGGCTCGGGCTATTTGTTGATATTGTGATTTAGTTATGTGCCCCTCTTTCAACTTTCTATACTTGTCCTTTTTATCTTTCAATTTATCAGAGAGTTCTTTATGCAGCCATGCTGGGTTTTTTTGAAGCTGTTATTTTTCCTCTTTGTTGGTATTGTGCTAGACTGGGCTATTATTTCGCTTTTCAGAATTTCCCAAGCTTTTTGAGTTGTTCTCCCCTGGAGGATTCTCATCCATGGAATCCTTCCCAAGCACTCTTTTATTGAAATTAGCTCTCTTGAAGTCCAAGACTCTAGTTTGACTATGTTCTATTGCTTGTGCTTCCATAATGTTGAATTCCAATATTGCATGATCACTACCTCCCAAGGTTCCTGTGGCTTCAACATCTTCTATCATTTCATTTCTGTTAGTGAGAATTAGATCCAAAATGGCTAATCCCCTAATTCCCTTCTCTACTTTTTGGGAGACAAAGTTGTCTGCTAGGTTTGTCAGGAATCTGTTTGAAAGAGATCCAGCTGCCTATAGATCTCAGAAGGCTACCGGTGCTTTCTGGAAACAGAGGGGTTTCTTAATATCTAATGGCCAACTAATTGCCCACACTGACCTATTGAAAGCTATCCAATTACCCTCATCCCTAGCAGTCATCCATTGTAGAGCACACCAGAAGGATGATTCAAGGGTCACAAGAGGAAATCAATTTGCTGATGTCACAGCCAAGTGGGCTGCCACTCAACCCCTGAAGGCATTCACTACCTTCCCTACATTACAATTAGGAACAACAGTACAATATCAAGATCTGTTAGAACCTGGGGAAATAAAAACTTGGGAAGAGAAATATGAGGCAGTTTATGAAGAAGGATTTTGGTGGGTCCCAGACGGGAGGCCCATAGCCCCCAGACATCTGCTATGACTAATCTATCAGCAGCTACACTCCAAAGGGCACTGTGGGACACAAGTAATAGTAGATGCCATAAGGAGAGTGTGGTATGCCCCAGGGGTCTACAGTGAAGCCACTCGGATAGCCAAGACATGCCAAATATGCCAAGCAAACAATGCTTCCTCAAGGAAAGCAATGCACACAGGGGGGACATCATGGGTCCAATGCCCCTTTGAAAAACTCCAACTGGATTACATTCAACTCCCCAGAGTCAATGGTTACTAATATGTGCTAGTCTGTAGGGACCAGCTCACCCACTGGGTGGAAGCATACTCATGCCGCCATGCCACTGTTCTAGAGACAACAAGACACCTATTAAAAGAACTTGTGCCCAGGTTTGGAGTCCCAAGCATTTTAGACATGGACAAAGGCACACACTTTGTGTCATAGGTAATCACACATGTCCTCCAAGCATTGGGCATTAAACAAGACCTACCCACACCGGGACACCCCAGTTCCTTGGTGGGGGGGTGTAGAGAGACAGAATAGGGAATTAAAGACCCTCCTAGGTAAACTCTGTCAGGAGACCCACCTGCCCTGGCCCCAAGTACTACCCATAGCCTTGTTCCATCTTTGAACCCGGCCAAGGTGAGACATGGGCATCTCCCCCTTTGAGTTATTTTTTGGTCGTCCACCTGACACACTTAAAGGCCTAGACCCCCAGTCCCTTTGTTTAGAAAAGGGGGAGGTAGTCTTATCATCCTATCTTACAGCTCTACACCAATGGCTCAAAGAACTGTGGAAGCAAAGTGCCCTGATGCAAACCTTATCATTAGAAGAGAATCTACATCTTTTTGAACCAGGAGACTGGATTTCGATAAAGTCATACAGCCACAAGTCACCTCTACAACCAAAGTGGAATGGTCCTTTTCAAGTTCTGCTAACCACCCAGACAGCAATCAAGGTAGCTGAAAGGAATGCCTGGATCCATTGTACCCACATCAAACCAGCAGTCATAGACCACAACATTATACCTGAAGCAACATCAAAGGTTCCACCCCTGAGACTTAGAAAAAACCCAGAAACCGAAGAGTGGACATTAAAGACACTTTTTGAAACTGAAACAAATGGGGGAGGGAATTAAGTTCATCTTTGTTAAATTGCTGTATAGTATTTGTATTGTATTTTTGTATTTGAAATGTACCTCTGGGTTCATAGAATCAAAATTAACCATGTTAACCAAGTTAATGGCCTCCTTGCAAAGGTGGCAAAAGAGGAGCTTCCACACATTGCCTCCTGACTGTGATTCAAAGGCCCCCCCTCCTCACCAAGGCTGACTATGTTGCATTGGCTGTCTCTCTAGTGGGAGTGTCAGGGCTTGCAGCGCGAAATTCAAGGAACATAAACAGCCTGGCATGTACCCTAGCTAAAAGCCTAAATACCACCTCCCATGCCCTAGGTACCTTAAAAAAGGAATTAAAGCAAGTCAGAGAAGCAACCCTTGAGAATAGAGCAGCTATTGACTACTAACTGTTGAGGCACAATCATGGCTGTGAAGAATTCCATGGGCTTTGCTATCCGACCAATCTGGACTAATTGAACAAGATATCAAACATTTAAAAGAACTAGCACAGAATACTGGACATAACCAATCATCCTGGGACCTTTCTTGGCTCTTCTCTTCTTGAAAATTCTCATCGCTACTATAATCACAGTCCTCCTTTGTTGCCTATGCCAATTAATTCCTTTAGGGTTGAGATGCCTAAAGATCTGCACAACTCCATCAGAGGCAAAGAATAGAGCAAGAAAATCTCTCTCATGATGTGCCAAATTGACCACCAGTTGGGCTGATCACTGAAACACCAGTGATAGCCCAAAATGGGGGCATTGATGAGAGCAGGACACCCCTTCCTCACCCAAAGAGAAAATGCCTTGGCAAATACAGGAAGAACCCAATACAAACTAGTCTGACTCAGCAGCAGCCTGAGGCTAAATAAACAAACACTTAACACACACTGGCTACAAAGTATCAAGTCTAAACCACAGGAATGCAGAACCAGCTGACCGCAATCAGGATTGACAAGTTAGAATAGAAACACTAAAAGGTACACAAGAATAAAATAATCACACCAGATCCCTCCTGGAGCAAAGATTAACACTTTTTTTTAGACAGAATTGATAAAGAAATTAACCCAACAATAAACACTGACCAACAAATCAGAAAAGACAAATTTTAAACTCACAAATCAGAAATGACAATTTGGAAAGCATGAAAGGGTATAAGAACTCACCTTTGAGGACCATTCTGTCTAGCTAGCTGGGGATTCATGCTGAATTATCACTCAGCTTTAATCTCTGTGATTAAACCTCTCTTTCCAGTAGCTGGCTTCACGTCCTATTTGTTCTCCTCTGCGCCACCTGTGAGAATCCTGGCTGGAAGAGCCTGAATGGGGGAATTCCTCTCAACAATGCCTTCATGCTATGTGGCCAAAAATGGTGTCCTTTTATTTATTTTCATGTATTTATTTATTTCCATTTTTAATCTTTTCACCACAACCCAAAAGCATAGGGTTGTAAAAGTCCCCTCTCACAAAGACACAGACACACAAATACATTGGCACACTTTGGAAGATAGTGGTGGCATCAGGAGCTACTGAAGCATTTGCCCAAAGCAGAAGGTAGAGACAGGAAGGGGTATCTAAAAAAAAAAGGCAGCACCCTTCCAGCATCCCACCCTTTGGGTTCAGCTATTCCACTAAAATTGGCTCCGGAAAAAGGCACTCTGCAGACAGGGCCTATCCTATCAACAGGGGCATGTATTTTCTCCAGCCCATCTTATTTTGGAATGTTGATTTAAAATAAGCTTGTTAGACCAAAACAGATTTACATAGTCCAGATTGTTGTTCCTACAGAGTTCAATCAGATGCCTTTGGAAAGCCCACAATAAATGTTCTTTGTTATTTCTGTTTTAACCCTTAAAACAGTTTGGTGCCACATTATGAAGAGTAGCCATCTCAATGTTCATTTCTAACTTCAGAACATTGATGAAGAGTTGCAAAACACAAATCCTTAAGGGAACCCACTGTGTGTATCCTACTCTCTGCTGTTGAAAGTTCTAATCATGTGTAATTAGATCACCCTATAAGTATGCTTGTTGACATTATCATATCACTAAATAGCCAGCATGTTAAGCTTTCCCCTCGCAGAGAGTTATGTTAATTTTTCAGTCAGAGTTGTCCTTAAAGCTCAAGGCTTGGCAATTTAATATAGTGTTGTTGCACCAGTTTATCTAGAAGATAAACAGATAAACATTCAGCCATTTGGCTTATCATTTCCTGGATCCATTTAAAAATAGTGTTCACTTTCAAGTTCTTTTGTAGAAAGGACAATTCTAAGAACATATTACAGTATATGTTTTTGTTAGGAGGGCAGGAATGTTACATTGTGAGTTGGTAATATAATCTGTCATCAAGAGAGCCAATATAATATAGTATAGCACAGCTGGCTCAGGAATTCTGGGAGTTGAAGTCCACGAGTCATAAAAGAGCCAAGGTTGACTACCCCTGGTATAGTGGTTAAATATGTTGAATTAAGAACAGGGAGACCCAGGTTTAGTTCACTCCCAGTCATGGAAGCTTTTGGAGAAATCATTGGAGAAGGAAGTGCTGCCTATTCTGCCCTAGACTCATGGTGGAAAAGCAGGTTATAAATAAAAAAAGAGCTTCAGTCATGGTGACAATTATAGAGACAGTAAAAAAAAAAACTTTTTAGATTCCTAAACATGTCAAACAAATCTACTCCTTGTTTACATAACTTCTTTTTTCAGCAGCATTTGTTTATTTTCTTAATTTCATTCTTTTAAATATTTTTTTCCACTTTCATTTCCCACATCCTTTAAAAGAAAAAAGGGCACCTTTTTTTTTTTTTAAAAAAAAAAAGAAATATTTCCTGTAACAGGACAGGATATCAAGTCAACTGATTAATATATCAACAACAATGCAGTATGCAAAATAAAAACGCAGAGATATTTGTCATCTGGGTAAACATCTCATAATAAGTAGTTTTTTAAAAAAAAACTTTTCACTTAGGAATAATTTTTTTGTCAAAATTGAAGAACAGTGCACTGTAAAGTTTTAGATTGCTAAAATGCATGGGAGAAAACAGTCAAACTATGCAGTTCGTATTGGAAAATTGGGAAGGCTTTTAAAGATTCAGAGGTAAGTGGGTTTAGTCTTGGCAAAGCAAAAAGAGGAATAATGTCTCTAGCAAGTTTTACTTTAGATGGCATTAAGCCCTCGGGGTCAAAGGAGGAAAACAGATCTGAGTGTATTAATAGAGGTAGCCTTTAAATCCTACACTCTCTCCATTGCCCCATATACCAAGAAGGCGTTTTACGCTTCCTCACAGGATTGTGTTATCGCATCATGTAGAAACCTCTCCTTGTAAAGACAGCTAGAGCTATTAGGATGACCTCCATGATCCTATACATGCATGCAATGAGACAATATAAAACAAGACGGGGGTGGGGCTACATCCCTTCTGCAGTAAGTGGGGTGACTAATCTACTGTCTGTGAGTATCTCTCTAGGCATCCATAAGGCTAACTGAGCTATCTGTCTGTTTAAAAAAATAACTGAAAAATGGTCAATTCATTGGTTAACCTTAAGCACAATTTTTTGTGTACTTCCTGTGCCCTTCAGCAAGATAATGGTAGGATGTAAGTATGTGCAAAACCTACCTTTTGGGGATCAGAACAATCCAGAAATCTGGAACGCACAGTAGCACAATAGTTGTGTGTTTTTTAGGTGTTTTTTCTCTGAAAAGCAATACTTTTTTTCTAAAAAAAAAAAAAAAAAGGTGCCGGAACTCATGCACGACATACAACCGGCCTTGCCTACCCTACAAGGTTCCATCCAAAAAAGGTGCTGGAACTCCATTCTGGGCGTTCTATGAGAAAAAAAACCCTGCTGGGAAGTATCAGTACACACTTTGTGAAAATATGCATTTTGCTATTAATGTGCCAGCTGAGATCAGACACTTTAGACCTTCTACCCTTTTCTGTCCCATTTTTTTCTGTGTGTTTTATTAATTTGACCTTGTCATGCTGCTGCTAAACCCCAGGAAGTTCAAAATTAGATCTCATTCATCCATGATCTAAATTTGGATGAGGGGACCATTGAGATGGCAAGGGAGCTGCGTTTTAGTCACTATTCTGTCTGGTAAATTCTATATAACATTGACAAAGATTTAAGAGTGGAGAGAGGAAGGTTGCAATAATCAGTAAGAACTTCATCTTTCTCTTCAGATTTCCAGTGTACCAGAGTGCTGATTCGAAATCTTTGCATTTGGGATATGTTTAGGATTCTGCAGGTATATTGCTCCCTCTGATGCAAAAGTCTTCTTACCTGAGCTAGCATATGTGATTTTGGACTTGATGTTGAAAAGCCTCTGATTAGTGATCCTAAGAGTCAACCATGTGCATGGCTCAACATGCCTACTGGTGTGTGTCTGATTTTTTGGGATACTAAGCCAAAATGGAATCATCCCAAAATGTCATAAGGTAGCAACTTATACTCTGGATGTGGCTTATGGCTTGTTAAAGATGATGATGGTAACGAACATTTCTCTGTCATCTCAGGATGAATGTTATCTGCTAAGATTGTTTTTTTTTTATTTCTACAGAATGGGAGACTTAATAAATAACCCACCACCAGAGGCCAATGAAATGTTTATGACTGGTTTTCTTGCATCACCATGGGTCATGCAGTTGAGGCTGGCTGCTTAGCAGAGCCAAATTAGCTGTTTGATACATTGGAGATAAAAGTAACGAAGCTTAGCATATCATAGCTAGAATGCAATCAGAGGAAAACACACAAAATCCAATTCTACATAGAAAATAACACTTTATCATAATGCTCTGTGGAAATACAGATAGCAAGACTGTTAAGTCTTTGGTTTATTAATTCTCTCTCTCAAAGGGAATTATAACTCGGCCCTCAAAAGCTTGCTATAGAAGTGAAAAATATGGTCTGCCAATCACCTTCCCAAAATGGCTGGGGGCGAATGTACTAAATCCATTTAAAGCATTTTTTGACAGCCTTTGATTCTATTCAGTGAGAATGACTCTGGAGGAAATTAGGCATTACAACAGATAGTTGTCTTCTTAGGCTAATAATACTATTACACCAAGGCACAACCACTCAAGTAAAGAATGGTTAATATTTCTTGATGATTTAACTCAGGGGTCTTCAAACTTGGCCCTTTTATGACTTGTGGAGTTCAACTCCCAGAATTCCTCAGCCAGGTATGCTGGCTGAGGAATTCTGGGAGTTGAAGTCCACAAGTCATAAAATGGCCAAGTTTGAAGACCCCTGATTTAACTGAACTCCCTTTTAGTAGCCACAGCATAAAATAAAACTATCCTCCCCACACTATTATTCAATATTTACATTAACAATATTATTGAAATGTCTGCTAAGTCAAAATTCCATCCTTTCTCCCATGCCCATCATCCCATTCTTTTTGCCGATGATGCAGCCAGCCAATCTGTAACACAAGTAAGCCTTTAAAGAGGACTTAAAACTCTTTATCATTTTAGTTCTGTAGGTAACCACCTCAAAATAAATTACTCCAAAACAAAAGTACTGCTATTCTCCAATTAGAACCCAGTTAAAATGACAATTAACAGCAAACTCATGGAGGAGGTAAATTCCTTTAAATATCTCATCTTTATGTTCAGTCTTTTACTTGCTGATCTACTCAAACAAGCCTTCGAGCAGAACCTCAAAATTGTCCCTTGAAATTTGCAGATCAATTTGGAAACAATTGTCTCATCAGTTTTTAAACTATTTAAAGCCAAAGTTCTGGGTTTGACACCATATAGTCAGTGGTGGGATTCAGCTAGTTCACACCAGTTCAGCAGAACCGGTAGCTAATTTTTTGTTGCCCATAACCTGAATGGACTTCCAAAAGCGGCATCCACAGAGAACCGGTTGTTCACATATTTGAACCCCACCACTGCAAATGTTACTCATTTTTGTATTAATAAGAGGCCTTCAGGTTTGGAAGCAATCCAAGCCAAATTCTTCCAAATCTTAAGGGCCTAATTAAAACTTCATCATTGGCTGAAGCAAGTCTACTGGGGAACTACCTTAATTCTTCTCACCTTACAGGGCAGGTTCTTCTCCAATCAAAGACTAGTAATTTGGAATATTGGAGTCTTACCTTTTCAGCACTATCTGCTTTGGGACTTGATAAAATCTTGGCTGAACTAAAGCAGATGATTTGGGATCTAGATATGCAAAATCATAGAACCAACATTTTTTATATATATATACACACACATACATACATACATACACACACACACACATACATACACACACACACACACAGACACATATCCAAATTTCTTTTTCTGACAAAGAGTTAAAGAATTGGGAGACTAAGATGACCATTTCGAGCTCATTCTGCTCTCTTCAGAGCTCGAAATGGCCATCTTAGTCTCCCAATTTAATTCTTTAACTCTTTGTCAGAAAAAGAAATTTGGGTTTGTAAATGTTTCGCAGTTGCGACTTGAGCCTGCTTAATGCCCCTAGTTGGGGGGCTGCAAGGCAAAAGAGATTGTAAAAAGTATAACTGCAGTATAGCAGTTAAAAATGTCAAGGTGTACTTCCCCTTTTCTCCCGGGTCTCCCTATTATATTTCTATATGTTATATGCTCCACAAAGAAGACTTTACTTTGGCTTAAATTGGAACACTACCTATTAGGGAAGACCTCGTAGGTATATTAGTGTCCCATATGAAAGTTGAACTTGTTTTTGTTAAGGCCCAGTGGTAGAATCAGTCTCATGTGTGCTATTAAAATGCCTGTGACACATCCAACAGGGATCAAGTTAATACTTCCAATGGTTAGTAACTCTAATGGAAGCAGCCCACTTGTGGCTTTCTGAGATAAATTTGTGAGACACTTTGAAATAAAAATCACTTGTAATCAGCTTGAGTTGGAAGATTTCCATTGCTGAAACTTAAAGATGCACATAAATTTTGATCAACCACTGTCAGGTTTCATTCTTGCTCACTTTGACATGTATTTAAAACACAGGAAACATGCATAGCGTAGCTTCTGAAAATTTGTTCAATCCCCTTTTCCACAATAGCCATTGGAGGCATTATCTTTTTAGTGTATGTAACAAAATAAGGTGGGATAGCTCTGTGTATCTGCTCTACCCTAATTTTATTTCTATATTTATGTGGGCCATGAATGTACAGAGTGGGCTACAGTGATTTTTTTTTCCCTTGCAGTTTTTTTTTTCATTCCCTACAATTTTTTTCCTGCAGTCCCTGCAATTTTCTTGGTTAAGTTTTGGAACCGATTTGCCATTTCCTACCTCCTAGAGAGTGACTGGCTTCAGGTAGCCCAGTTGGTTTCTACCCTAAGGCAGATTGGAACTCAAGTCTCCCAGTGTCCTATTCTGATGCCTTAACCACTACACCAAAATGGCTCCTTCTACTTTAATTATTTATACTTAAAGACAACCCATACATTTGAGTATCAAAATGCTAATTAAAATATTATTTAAAAACTCAGCTGACTTTAATACTGCCTAGTAACATTTTCCTCATCTGCAAACTTGCAATATCTTTCTTATCAAGCCTCTCAGTGATGACTCATACCTGACCCATCACAAGACCCTCCCTTGACACACCCGCACCTGAAGCCCTTACAAACAGAACACTGACACGGACATCCCCTAAACTCTGCTGAAGATGTTACCTAGCCTTGTAACGAAATGTTCAGAAACCAACCCACAAGCTCGGAGAACGAACCTTCACCCTCATCCTACACCCGAGTTACAGATATCCACCACTATTGCAAATATCTTTTGTATTTTAAATTCCAAATGTAGTAGAAATGTAATTGAATACAGGGAGATAAACGTACGTATCTTTACTAGCCACAAAGCTATGTAATAGCAGTTAATATGAATGGCTGAAAGAATATAAAACAAATGTTCTACAACAGTAAGATGTGGAAAATTAGTTGCAATTTCACTTGTAGCCTGTGTCAGAACAGCCAATACGATATTGCTAAAGATGCTTATCTAGACAGACACTAAGTGTTTATAAAGACTAAGGGCTCTCATTCCTCTAACACAGTATAAGCAGAAAAAAAGAGAAAGTGTTGGCACTATTATGCAACTCAGTGGCTCATTCACATCCAGGAGTTAAGGTTCTAAGAAAAGTTACTGAACATCCAAGCTGCTTAAATGAAGGAGAAAGCAAGTGTTCATTGCCAATATGCGGGCTTATGTGAAAATAAATCAATGAGTAGGGCCAACACTATTCAGAGTCACTGAAAATACAACCCTTCTTAAAAATTGTTGTCCTAATAAAGGCACACTGAATTGTCTGCAGCAGCATTTCTAGTCAGACTGTAATCTGTAACCCAGAATTAAGTCATTCCATGTGAGAATCCAAGCATTTTTGTCAGGGAGGAAAGGGAATGTAAAATTTAAAAAATCATAAATGCAAAGACAAATCAAGCCGTTAAAAACTACAGAACTCAATGTCCAGAAAGCAAACATTAGAACTTCCTAAGTAATCATACTCTTTGAAAAATTTCAGTCCAGATTCCTCTCATGGACCAATGATTTTAAATATCTGTTGTTTGTAGTACTTTGAGGCAGTCTTCTTTCTCTGTTGTACAATTTCTTCCGAATGCTAAGGGTTTTCTTTAAGGCAAATAGTACAGGTATCTCCATACAATTCAACAGTCCTTGGTTAAATTTCACTTCACTAATCAGATTGAGAGATTCAGAACCCATTCACGTAACTAACACTTATGAAAAGTCAAAAGCCTTTTTTGTGTGATTTTAGATTTCTCACCACTGTGATTTAACCTAAATTTTAGAAAACTTCCCAAAAATTGCACCATTCTAGTCTGCTCCACACATAAAATTATTCAAATCAGAGGCTGCAGTATGATATAACATAATACAAGCAGTATTATGTTCTTGGAACATTCACTATTTGGATTCAATGTAAGATGTAAATTTCACTTCAGATAAATAATTACATGATGTCCTGGAAAAAGACTCCTTGAAGGGAGAGGGGAGCATAGAAAGATCATTCCGGAAGTCTGTTGAGCTGCTCCCTTTTCCACCAAGGCCTTTATTGACAACTATCCTGTCTAAAAGATCTCTGAAGAAAGAGATGGAAGAAGGCACATGGCAATCACCACATAATACTCTCTCCAATAGTGCAAAACCATTACCACCAATTGATTTTCAAGGGCCTATATAGAGATCATATTTACTATTGAGTTTTCAATTCATGTTTTCAAACGTCTGTATGGCATTCTGATCTAGAATTCTTCATGCTGCTTTTATATGTAAGATTTATTGCTTGGTAAAACATATTCAGGTTTCTTATCCATCCCATTACGTTGTTATTTGACTAAGGCAATTATTGCCCAAGTAAAGCAAACATAAAAGGCTTAGTAAACTAAATAAAATATCAAACTTCCTAGGAAGATACCAACAGGAAAATGGAGTGAGCAGAAAAAATCTACACTATAGCAAACAAATGAGAGCTCCAGCTTATTCTAATAATCTGATTCAGTTTGGGGACGAAGGAAAAACTTTACTAATATCGATAAAACAAAAATGTCCC